TAATTTTGTAAATTATATTTTTTGTGTTGTGATCGTGGATTAATTGGCGGGAGATCACAAGAGATCAACGAGCCTCGAAAAACCAACCGGGACGAAGCCCGGAGGCGCGCACGGACATGCGAGGATTAAAAAAATTTTCGACCACCGGCGACGGCCGGGCTGTAGCAAGGCAGAGGCGACGGCGGGTTGTCGGCGGTGGAGAGGTTTATTTGGTGTCAAAGCAGTACAAGATTTACAAGGATTCTACTGCACTAGGAGTTCAAGTTGTGCAAGGAAATAATATACAATGTTTCATTGTTTATGTGAACTCAATATTTAATGGCCATAATAGTAGATTTATTTATTTAAATTCATTATGCCATTATTTATTTATTTATTTATTTATGCATGTTAATTAATTATTGTATTTGCATGAGATTAATTCAGAATTGCATATTTGTTTATGAATTTTAATTAATTATTGCACTTACATATGATTAATTTAGAATTGCATAAATATTTAAATAAGTAAAAATAATATATAAAAACACATCGTATATATACATGAACCTTTGGACGGATTTCTATTGTTTCCAACGACATAAAATTGATTTTTATAAATTAAATATCTATATATAAGATTTCCACTCACTCAATATCTACAATCATTTGTTAATATCACTAGTACAGAGTCCGTGCGATGCACGTGGTGCACAATTGTAAGACCATTTATCCTGTATTATAATTATATAAATGAATAAAGAAAAATATACAAGATATTTATAGTACGTAACTTATGCGAGGCATGATATATATTTATTTGGGAGATTATTATACTATAAATGCAATATTCAATAAAAGATTTACAATACACGAAAATAAATATAAATAATATAAATATCTAAATACATATAGAATAAATAGGCCAAATTGCAGATCTGAAAATATAATTAAAAAACTCGAAAATATATTTCACAAAACATGTACAAAAATATCTAAATACATACACGAAAATAAAAAGAATTAAAATATACTTTTCAAATGTCGAAATTAAAACAGAAATTCAAATAATTTGGCTTACATTTTTATCATGCAGAATCAACTCGAGATATGATTTTCTTTTGTATGTGTTGCCCCAATCTTGGAAAAATATTCTCACAATTCGAACTTTGAGCATAGGTCTATTAGGCCTATTGACTTGTTTGATTAACTCAAATCCTTAATTCATTGTTTTGAATAAAAGACTCATTAGATATATTTTTTGTTCGCAAGAGGTTGACAGTGTGGAAGATGATGACTCGATAATTTATAATGGGTAGAGTAGATATATATTATTTTTAATATTTTTTTAGAAAATCTGAATCTGAATATACAGAAATCGGTTTGAACAAAATCTGAACAAATTTTCATACAATTAAATAATAATAAAGTATTTTTTATTTTAGTAAAGATTTTAAGTACTTTTGTTTTTACTTATCGGATGTTTTGGGGTTTTTTTTTTGTTAAACCTGCATTTTTTAGTATAGATAGACTTTATGTACAAATATTAACTTCATCGATTTTATATGATTTGTTTTGACAAAATCGATGTTAATATGGAATAAGACAAATAAATAAAGCTTTTTTTTTATTTTAGTAAAGATTTTGCATCCTTTTTTTTTTACCTATAAGATGTTATGTGATTTTTTTCTTCAACTAATTTTATGGTATATAAGACAAATATATAAAATAATTAAATAAAATTCTGGATAGAAATAATAATGCATTAATTACGTTGACTTTTCAACCTACTAAATTTGGTAAATATGATACCTTATTATATAAGTATAGATTTGTTCAAGATACCATGTAAATATAAAATGGCTGAAGATACTGTATATAAATTTTTTACTTTCTATTTTGTATAAAATAATCGTGAAATTCCAAATTAACTAATTTCTTACAATACTATAAATCATTGATTGTTAGTGTCGTGAATTTGCACAAAAATCAAATGATATGGAATGTATGCTATTAGAATCATTAATTATCCTTTGTTTAAAAAATACTATAAAGTTAGCCCCAATTACCTAAATTGTACATTTAAGAAATACCATAAAATATTTAAATAATTTCTAAATTTAGTAAACAACATTTTTTTAGCGGGAAACAAATACTATTTAAAAAATAATCAAACTTATATATATATATATATATAGAGGTATGATAAATAAAATTCAACTAATTTCTCAAAATGACATGCAATTAATTTTGACAGATTTTTTTGTTACTATTTTTGGTAAATATGTTCTCTTATATATATATATATATATATATATATATATATATATATAGATGGTTACTATTTTTGTTACTATTTCTTGTATACGACAAAATAAAGCTTAAGATAAAATTATATTGGCAAAGATTAATTCACCAACTTAATTTCGCAAATTAATTGGAAGAAAAAATTCTACCTAACTTGTTACAATTTTCTATAAATATTTTTGGATGAAAAGTGAATATTTGTGAAAAAAATTAATATTATGGTTAGAACTACAAATATATTGTAATATTTATCTTGACCAATTATTATCAACATGAATAACGAAAAGTCAATCTTGTAGTTTTTTATAATGGGTATGAATGAAATTATTGCAAATATTAATTAAATTATCTAAAGAAACAATATTTTTGATTAGATCTGATTTGATATCATTTTTTTTATATAAACATCCCAGATTGGGATGGGGGGTTGTGGCCACACCCCCGACCTGTGAATATAATGGCCCAGCTAGGGCTAAAGAGTCAATGGTCTACATCCAAGTCAGAAATACATAGAGCAACATCAAAAGCAGAGAAAATAAAATAAAAAATACAAGGATAACAAAAATATCCACTGTGGATCTAAAATCAAATCCTCATAAAAGGTCGTCCTGGTCAGAGTGACCTGGCATGGAGTCCAAAATGTCAAATCTAGTCAGGGGCAGGTGGTGGCTGTCGACTGAATCTGAAGGATGGGTACTCAAATTGGTCCATCTGAATGAGCGTCCGAAGCTCGGAGGGGAATGTCCTTCGTGTTAGCAAGAAAATCAGCAGGCTGATTCCCCTCTCGGAATATGTGTGAGACTTGGTAATGGATCGAGCGGAGGGTGTCTCTGATACGCATAAGAGGATGATGGATCTGCCATGAGCCGTGGTGGCCAGATGTCAAAAGTGTGATGACAACCGCAACATCCATCTCTATCCAGACATGAGAGGAGATCGAGGTGGCAATATTGAGACCAATCTTGAGCACCTGAATCACTGCATCATAACTCGAAGAGGTCTAAAGTGGCCCATGGAAGGCAGAGATGAGTGCCCCACCATGATCCCTAATCAGGCCCCCTCCTCCAGCAGCTCCGGTATGTCTGTCGAAAGCGCCATCAATGTTTAGCTTAATCCAAGGGGCCTTGGGTTTCAGCCAAACAACGGTCCTGGGTCGAGGATACTGAACAGGTAAAGGAGGTGGTGGCCTCAAACGATAGGGCGGTGTACACCCTGTCCAGTCTCTCGTCGTGAGTCTACCCATGGCAGTGAGGAGAGAGATGTGTCTGTCAACCTGCAAAATAATGTGAGCACAAGAAAATATAATATCCCTATTCTTCGCATTATTCTTTTCTGTCCAGGTAGCCCATAGGATCAGACAAAGAATAAGGAAGCCCACGTGTCTACTGTGTGTGCGGTGTGTGAAAAAACTCAGAAGCTCAAAAAAACTGTCTGTAGTGGGTAGAGGTATATGAGTATATCTGGCATAGTGCTCTCACACTCTCCTCACAGTCTCACTCTCAAGGAAAAGATGGGTGAAAGTCTCAATCTCAAAGGAACCGGTCTCAGCACAACAATGGCACCTGCATCACAGTGTCAATGGAAATATGCCGTAATAGGAGGCGCCACAAAAAGACGGAAATTGTCGAGGTGAGAAGGTCGGTCCATATGGCCCCGAAGAGGCGGTTTGGCCGGTTGCCCAGCCTCACTTCTCCCCAGGCTGATGACATAGAGAATGCACCCGAAGATGTAAGTGTCCACCTCATGCCATCCAAACCTCCCTCTAGAATGGGAATCTGTCGGATCTGGTCAATCTCTAGACTACTAAAACCCCCACCCTCACCAAGAATATCCTCCATCTTATCTCTATCCCAAAACACTCCCGTCCAAAGATCCTTCACCTGCATGAAAGGCAGGTGAGTGACTGGCTAGTACTCAAGAGAGGGGCCTCGCCGAACCACCACTCATCCCAGAAGCTTACCTCCCCAAAACCCAAGGTCCAAAAAATGTGCTCCTGAGCACGCCTGCCAACAATGGTGAGACGCCTCCACTGTCGACTATCCCGAGTGATGACTGTCACCCTGCAGGGATGAGCAGCACAACCAGGACAATATTTCCTCAGGAGGTATTGGGCAAAAAGGGACTTGTCCTCCCTAATGATTTGATTTGATTTGATATCATTTGAACAAGTGTATATGAAAGCAATTAATTTACAATTCTCATAGATTTTATGCAAAAAATAAATAAAGATATTAATTAATAAAATATTATAATTTTGATTTCTACAAATACATAAATAGATAGATAATATTAATAATAACAATTAAATTTAGATCCTTTTATCTATCACCGACCCAATTTTCCAGATCCTTTTAGATCTTGAAAACCTAGGAAATCGATTAGGCAGGCACCATTCCTCCAAACACACAGGAAATAGGTAACAATCTCTCTCTCTCTCTCTCTCTCTCTATATCTCTCTCTCCTTCCCCTCAAGCCACCGCTCGCCTGTGCCTCATTTTGGCCAAGGCGTAGGTTGGGGAGTTGAGGAAGTCGGCGGTACTCGCCGTTTCCGTCTTCAGTATCGTATGGCTTTAATATTTTTATATATTTTCAGGTTTCTCTAGGCCATTAGTGATGTCGATGCTGAGGCAGACAATCAGGTAGATATTATTATTGTTATTTTTTTGTTTATTGGTAGATTAGGTTTAAATTCATTGATCATATCACAAATTCAGGCTCGCAGCATCTGCAAGGAAGGCACCAATTTCTCTGACACCTTCGCGTCGTTTTTGCTCTACCGCTGGGTAATGTGTGTTTTTTCCTGTAATTTTGATGTGGGCTTTTTGTTTGTACTAAATTTTGTCTATGAACTGTACTGGGTTGCACTCTGCATTTCTTAGGCGAGAAGGCATCGCGGGCGAAGGGTGGACTGTGGGCGAAGGGTGGACTGTGGAAAGTGTTCTCTACCCTGTCCTAGGATTTGTCCTGTGTGTTAGTTTTTATGATTGGTAAGTATCTGCCTGCTATGCCGTAATGATTTTCTATGTTTGGCTATCTTTCTCTCTGCACAAGCTGGGACTTGGACCTGACTCTAAAATTGTTGTGATATGACAGCGCTGATCTTAGTGGCGAGTAAGTTCTCTCATTCCTTAGTTCTTCTTGTCTCTTTGTTGCATACGGTTTGCAGTTGAACATACTCGAATTTCAACTATTTCAGCATCTCTTGGAAAATAGTTAATATGCCTCAATAATCTACTTTCAATGACGTACTCCCATTTGAAATTACTGAAAAATAGTTAATATGCCTCAATAATACTTCCTGAACTTGTGTTGCTAGCAGAATGCATCCCATCATTTTGAGATCAGCTTGACCTTTTTCGTCAAAATAATGCTTAATCAGTTTTCATTATTGACCCCTTTTGACGATTGAGATGTTCCTTATTGCTATTTGTTCTAACCATCACAATATCTTGTTGCAGGGGCAGCGTGCACAAAAAAAGGATCAGACGGCATGCTGAATTAATGAACGAATGGTTTGGCCTAGGATTCTTTATTTTTCTGTTGCCAATTGTTTTATCCAAGTGCTTTGAGTTGATCATTGAATCTACATGATTTATATATTGCCCCCCCCCCGTTTTTTTTTTGTTTTTTTTTTGGGTGAAGTTCTCTGAGACTCTCTTATGGTTTATATTGGATTTAATCATGGGGTAAAGGAATAATGTCTGGGCGCCTAGTAATCCTGTGTTGCAGCTTGTATACTGCTTCCAAGGGTTGCTAAATAAATTGTCAGACATGAAAGAGAAATAAAAATGTGTTAGGGCATTGTGAATAGGTTTATTATGAAATTCATAAGCAAGTGTTGGGCTCTCGAGTTATTTGCATTGTGGTGTTGCCTGAAATGTTACTGAATTTCAGTTTTCAAGGAAATGCTATCGATTTTGGATTGCATCACCAAATCCTTTATTCCAAGTTACAACCGAGGAAAGATGTTGCTTTAAAATTAATGGAAATTCATTTATCCAGGCAACACAATGTTGTTTTCCTTTCCGTGCTGCATCATATTGTAAAAAATGAGTTGTTCGTGATTGAAATCCGTTTTGTGAACAAAATGCATGATACCTTCTTTCGCTTTCCCCGACTCTTTTTTATTTAATTTTATCGTTCTGTTTGGTAAGAAAGCAAATTTGGTGCCATAATGACTCATTTTGGTCTACTGACAGGAAGCTTTGCCGAGACCTTGAGGAGCAGAGGCGTGATTTAAGGTTTGTACGGTTTCAAGAGTTTTTTTTCCCCCTCGAGTTTTGGTCTTTTCATTTTTTTATTCTTAGATGTTGAATAAATACTCGATTTTTAGGTCTTACATCTGACAAAACTATCTCATATAGGATTCATGTGTTTATATCTTCTTAGTTCAATTTTTGGTTCTAAAGAATTAAGTTGATGCTGAACGTGCTAGTTATATTAATGGGAAAAAAAGATATGTTTTGTAGCAAGGCATCACATACTTTTTGCTTTTAATACTCAAGTTTCAATTTAACCAATATTAGTATATTTTATCTTATCCGGCTTTTGACATGTGATGTGTTGTGTGCAACTCAGGTTACAGGCAGAAATGATGAAGAACAGGCAGAAAGGATGAAGTGAATGTTTTGTGGTGGTCAATGCATGCTATCTTGTTTTTGTGGAATGCTTTATAATTTTGAGTGAAAAACTATTATTGGTGGCTTTATGTGTGTAATGTGTGACCTTGAAGTATCATGTTTTTAATTTGGAGTATAAAACTTTTACTTGTGGCTTTATGTGTGTAATCGTGTGACCTTGGAAGTATCATGTGTTTTATTTTCTACCTCTCTATATCCATATATTATAACTAGCCGACAACGCACCGCCCAGCGCCAACAAGGCCCAACTGAGGCCCAAACCATTTTTAGACAAATTTCCTCGGGCAATTTGAGTTTCACCACGAGGTAAATAAGGTATAAGGCCAGACAAACTTTACCCTATCTTATCTTGTGGCACCAATAGAATGATGAGATGAGGTGTGAACTTGCATATTTTAAATACAAATAGGGGGAACTTATTATTAATATAAGTAGGGTTGTAAACGAATCGAATCAAAGCGAATACTCAGAGATTCGATTCGATTCATTTAAAATATTCGAAGATTCAATTCGTGATTCGATTCGATAACGAATTCATTTTTTGATTCGTATTCGATTCGTTTAGATTATTCAAACATATTCGATTCGATTTGAAGATCACCTCGACAAAGTCGCGATATTGCGCGCACCATAAGTCCCACAGGTGTAACACTAAACAATGTCGCAACCTTATATCTAAATTACTAAAACTCATCGAAAATCTGCAAGTTAAAAAATTTACTACAAATCCCAAAAGTCAGAAAAGGGGTCCATCAAGGACGACCCCGATAGTGAAGACGAAAGGGACTTAGAAGTGAAACCGAAGAGAATGAGAGATCTGCCTTGAAAAATCTTGACCTTAAGTCGAGTACAACAAGATGAGATGAGATTCTTTCTAGTAAGAAAATGCTGTCATGACTCCATGATCCGTACAGACCGAAGAAAAAATCAACCGTAGTTGAGGATATCATCCCCAATACACTTGGTGAACACCAGTCGCAGGGGGGTGATTACATCCCAAAGGCAAACAAAGGCATAAGTAAGACGCACATACAACGCCTGACAACAAGTGCAGAATGTCGAGTTCAGACCAACTAACTTTTTTTTCAAACGAATTCGATCACCCTCTTCGACGAAGACTTTGTACATTCGACCATCCCAACTCAGATGCCCTCGTGATCACAATACCAATTTTCTACATTTTGGTGCATATGGTTCTGGTATATACTGGAGCCTATGTTAGCTTCCTGTATTTGAAGACCTTTCGAAAAACAAGGATCGACCCAAAAGAGATTCGTCTCTGCAATGAACAAATTCAAGGATTCAATGGTAAAGTAACAATTCCCGATGGAGAATAACGCTACCTATTCATCTCGGAGGTGACAGTCCAACTGACAAAACGATCAAATAAACGTTCAATATTATGAATCATGAAAATGAGTATAATGTTATCATTTGAAGAATGACCTAGTACAAACTGTTATGCCACGAAACCGTGAACCGTCTAACCGCCCTTCTCGAACTGGGTTAATTCTTCTCGATCGCCAGTACCTGCAAAACACGACGCAAACAATCTGACGCTCAAGTCAGTAGGATTTCGAGAAGATAAGGTATCGGAATTACGCATGTGTGTGTTGTCATGTAAAAGTAAGATAACTTGTCCCTTATATAGACACATGAGTTTATCCATTATGGGATTTTGGGTATGAATCATCCTCTTTCACGCCTCTCCCTAGAGAACATGACCATTACAGAGTTCTATCAGAACCCAACATCTTTGGTGAGACTTCGGAAGTCCCATCTTTGCACAAAACCCACCACCTCGGCTTTCCTAGGGATGGTAGCTCGGCCACTATCATCCGAGCCTTTCCTCAGTTCTGTCGAGCTACCCTTGATCCTCCACTCATTGACGAGCATTGGTTTCCTGATAATTGAAAACTGCCTTGTAATTACCTAATTCCGAAACCCACAGGCCAAGCTCATCTAGGTATTCCTGGCATGGTGGCTAACATCGCGACCGCAAAAAGTTCTGGGATAGCTTGGCCAGCCGAACTCGCATGCACCTCAATCAGCATTCTAAATGCCATATCATCTAGCCCCCAAATTTCAAGAACTTTCTCAGGTTGGCCAGAAAAATACAAAAGAAATTAAGTTTATAGGTGAGACTTCACTACTCTGAGTAATACAATATAGTTGTAATTTTCTATTCTTCATCACATAGTGCTTCCCATTTAAAATTTGTTTCAGTTTTATAAAAAATATTGGTCGGATCATAACTAGTTCTCTACATTTTTTACAAAAAAAGGTCGGGATGCAAAATGAGAACACATAGGATTTTTGTGCTGACATGCAAAAATAATGGTCAAGTAAGGTCCCCAGTATGGAGTATAGCTTATTTTAGATACTCGACCTCGATATTATCTTTCTCACTTAGTCACATTTGTGAAGCTCCTTTTATACAAGGGACATTTTGACAATTAATTTCGAGAATAGTTTGTGTTTGGATTGTATAATAATAATAATAATAATAATAATAATAATAATAATAATAATAATAGAATGATAAATTTGATCTCATTCAAGAGAACTAGTTGAAACTTGAAAGTTTGACCAGTGTTCGGCCAATGGGATTGTAATTGACTCGTAAGAGCCAAGAACTTCTATTGCATTGGTCAGTTTTTACATCAAAGTAATTTTGCATATTTAATTTGGTGGTCAATTGGATTTTGTATTGGTTGAGTATCGCGTGGTCCTCCGTCCTAGCGACATTTACATTATTTAGTTTTTACATGAAGACGAAACGGAAAAAATTTGTGTATGTATTCCTTATTATATTTTTGTGCCACCTATTTATCATATAAATATAATTGATACTAAGTCTAAAATTAAAGATATTGTAGTTCTTACTTTGTCATGTTTTAGTTGTGTAGTCTCATCAATTCATTAAACAGTGTTAAGTGTCCGCCCGCCGAAGCGCGTCTCTTCGGAGGTAATAAGCAGCCCGATAGAGCCCAAATAGCTCACGGGCAGCACTCTAGCAAGGTCCGAACAACAACAAAAAACCCCGGAAGTAGTTGCTTCATGCTCGGACAAAAACAACAGCAAATGAGCAATTTTCAGCAATTAATTAGCAACAATCTCCGACAACACATAAGCTCTTTAAGTGTGTATAGTACTACAATCAGAAGATTAATAAATTCAAAATTGAAACTAAAAAAGAAATTAAAACAAATCAATAGAGGATGATATTGAGAACGAATACACTCTTTATGTAGACATATTCGGAACCAAAAACGGGAAGTGTTAATTACACAGGCTCATGCCCTGTATGATTATGTCCACAAGAATCACAAAGAATCAAACTCCAGGCCATGGCCATTCGATCTTCCGACAAATGAACCTTCGATAGCACAAAGGCTTCATAAAAGAATCCCAGGGATACTCACTAATTGAATACACAAAGTACTCTATGTTTTTTTAATCTCAACCTCTCCATCTCTCTACTCTCTTTTTCCTTTCTCTGTTTACATTACAAACACAACACACACATTATCGCTTTTGTATTTCACTCACGCACAACACACCCAAGCACTCATAGCCCTCTATTTAAGTTTTGGTCACATAACACTTTGTTTTATACACACACACACAGAGCACTCACATCTCAATACCAAAAACATATATTTTACGACTGCTTCAAAAGTATGGACCTCGACATCGAGCTGGCACCCCTACACACATCTCTTTTTGGGTTCAACAGTTCGGAGTCGCACCCTTAGGAGAAACCACGCTTGCTATCATCTTAGGGGAGGAGACTTGAGGAAGGTGAAGATGATAAGATTTGTGGTGGTCGATGTCGAGTCGGCCTACAACGTGATCCTCGGAAGACCAGCATTGAATGCTTTCCAAGCTTTGGTATCAACTTACCATATGAAATTGAAATTCCCAGTCAGAGATTGGGTGGGAGAAACTCGAGGAGATCAAAAACTATCAAGAGCTTGTTACCAGATAGTAGTAAAAACAAACCAATGAGCGGAGGTAAGGGAAGGAAAAAAACCAGCATTAAATGAAAAAAGGCAGAGGGGGAGTGACCTCGAACCACATGGAGAACTAATGGAAATTCAGATCGGGGAGAAAGAGGACCAAACCACCAAGGTCGGGGAAGAAATGGAAAACGAGTTAAGGAAATAGTTGGTGGAGTTGCTGAAGGAATTTAGAGATATATTTGCTTTCTCTCCTGAGGAGCTAACGGGAATAAAACCGGAGGTTATGGAACACAAGCTTAATGTCGACCCCCTTAAAAAACCTATTAAACAACGGCTTAGGCATCATGGGGCTGAGATAGACAAAGCAATCGAGGTCGAGGTGGATAAGTTACTAAAAGCCAAGCACATCAAAGAGATCCAATTCCCCGAATGGATATCCAATACTGTAATGGTGAAGAAGACATTGAACAAATGGCGCATGTGCATCGACTTTCACGACTTGAACCTGACGTGCCCCAAGGATCATTACCCTTTGCCGAGAATTGATCAGCTAGTCAACTCCACGGCCGGTTACGAATTGCTGAGCATGATGGACGCCTCCCAGGGATATCATCAAATTCCCCTGGCCCCCGAGGA